TGTCATTTTCATGAAGAATTGTGAATCCTTTCTCACACAAACATCCGGTAAAGGCATTAAACTACTACTCAGAATTCTTGCGTTTGCTTTTCTGCTAAATATGTCAACAGTAACGTGAGCATTTGCAAAAATTCTACATAAAGACTTTCAGATGGAACAGAAAGGAGAGAAAAACGAAAACAGGCAGTAAAGTCCCAAACAGGAGAAGAAAAGTTCCTAAAGACTGTGTTCATGTCTCAGTATCCATTCAGATACTGTTAATGCAAAACAACTACCCTAAAGGTAGGGTAGCCAATTTCCAAAGGGGACAAGGGTTAAAAAAAAGGAAGGAAATAGCATATAACTACTTTTTTTTTTTTCTGCTTTGTTTGAATGGAGCAGGCAATTCATGACTCTTGACAGCATCTTTGAAGTCAGTATTGATGTTTTAAACACAGCATAAGCAGCAGCAACCAACGACAGTTCACTGAAACATATCTCTTTTCCTTCTGGGTCTTGTTTGAAAGAGATGATGAGTGAGGTGGAACAGATGGATGAGGTATTTGTTGAAAAACAACAAGGCACCAGAACACAGTCTCTTCTGAGAGTCCAACACAGCTTGACTTTACTCTAGAATCCTGAAGGCAATGTACCATTGTCTTCTATTTACGTTTTGATTAACTCCTTAGAACAAGAGGCCCAAGAAACAGACACAGATCTCTGTGCAGAACCCAGGGTGAAGGCCAGGATCTTCTGGCACATAACTGATGCATGAGCCATGCTTCAAACTACAGTACCAGCTGCATCTAAAAGTACAACCAGTGAACTGAACTTCTGTCAACAATGCTGATAATCTAGTGCGACACCCCGAGGGATCACATCACAGAAATCCTACGTCATGCAGCACCCTGTGACTGTATTTGGCCATGACAGCTTTGAATACTGCTGAACTGCACTGAAAGATGCCAGATATAAAAGCATTTTTCTTTTATCTCCAAAGAACAAATGAGACTCTGAATTCCTCAATAATTGTTTTGCAGTTTTACACACCTGTACATATGAGAGATGTAAATAAGACACGTATGAAGTATCTTAATTTCTGTGATAGGGATTTGACTTCTAAACTTAATTCCATATACTATGAAACTACAGCCAGCCCAAGTTCACCACAGAAGGCTTCCAGGCAGGCTTCAGGACACTGTCCATGTCAAAGGAGTGGAGTGTCCCCTCTGAAGTGCCCAACTGCAATGAGCTGTGCAAGACCTTCACCAGAAACATAAACCACACATGCTATTCTGAACAGCACGGGGAGTCGGGAATCCCCAGTGCCTCCAACTGTTGCATTCTTCTGATACAGGAGAAACAACCCCTTGTTCCAACACACCCTGGACAACAGAGACAAACCTCAACAGAACAGGCACATCTCAGTGCCAGTGAGTGAGTAATGCATCTGGAAGCAGGAGAGATGAACATTTGCTATGTCCCTGTGAAGGTAGATGGACATAGTTGTTGTCAAATCCCAAATGGGTAGATTAAGGAAAAAAATGTCCCTGCGCTTCCTTTTGGAAGGAGAAGAGACAAAATTTCTACTCCACTGGAGCTGTAATTACGTACCATAGCTCCCACAGAAGTTTTCCATGGAAATGTTTTCCCATGTTTTGTCAGGTAGTAGAGAACAGTCCATCTGAAAAGTAGAGCCAGTGACTCTGCAAGATGAATACAGTCTCGCAGAGTTTTCTTATAATACACTTCTGTCTGCTTGAAAGCAGGACTTGCAAAGAACCTGCATAAATAGGACAGTGGTTCTGCTGACAGTGGAGTTACTCAACATGAGCGAAAAATTTGCACATTGAAAGGCAATGCAGCAACAGCAACACACCCATACAAACCGCCAAGACTCTCCGTGCTGAGGACTCAAAAATTAATGACAAGCAAAGTGCTTGCTCCATAGATCAGCGGCAACTATCACACATTTTGCAACATGAGAGCAACGGCTCATCTGTACCAGAATTAGACACAGAATCTTCGTAAGCTTTTCTGTGGCAGCTGTAACAGGATGCAAGACCATGCCAGCAGAATGTGCAGAGGCAGGCCTTTGAGCAGATGATTTAACCTCAGAACATTCATGGTTCACCCTTAGCAGCCGTGACTTGAGGCTCCTTCTAGATATTTCCAGACTGCTTCTTCCAAAAGATTGTGGGTCTGAGAGCTGTGTGCAGACTTCTGAGCTGCTCTCCAAACATGGAGGGAGAGGACAAAATTGAAATTGAAGAGGCTACTTTTATCTGTAGTTCTTTGATTTAAATGGTTTTATATTTTAAGTAAATATTTCTTTTTTGTTTTGCCTCTCATATCTTAAACGATAGATTTATTTTTTCCCCTTTTGAGACTTGTGTCAATTTGGAGTTCCAGGTCAAAAATTCTATCCAAAGTGCACAGCTTTAGGCAACTAAATCCAGGCAGAAAAGCTCTGAGTAAGTCTTTGCTGATTCCTACAGCTTCCAGTGCTTTATAATTAGAAACATCTCAAACAATAGGACTCAACGGTTACGGCAAGTAACTCCGCTGCTGTTTTTCTTCCTTTACATTTAATGTGGAGATAATTGTCTCTCTTCCAATTCTCAAAGGTTTTTTAAGTTATTTAATTTGCTCTGCAAAACACTGAGATTGTTTTTGAAGATGAGGTGTGAAGTGTAATCCACAGCCATTTCTCTCTTTATTCACTTTCTGACGGCGTCTCTCACAGCCCTCTGACCTTTTTTACAGCTCCTGACAGTTTTATAGGTGAGGATGGCAGAGGGAAAGTTGTGTCATATACTACAGCTGCATTGGTGGCTGTCTGTACAAATGCTTTTTGACAGTTAGTAAGATTAGATACAACAACATTCCTAATGTTTTTATACTGGAGGGATTTAAGCACCCTCCTGGAACCAAAATTCA